TATTATTTTACATTCCCCAAAATCGTTATAGAACCGTGAATCGCACAAATGTTTCTGGGACACAAATACGTTTCACTTAGGTCCGTGGACGGTGTTAGACTAGACGGATCTGGTTGCATTCCACCTCGCATTTCCGCCAGTCCCGCTCAGTCTGTGCCAGAACCACAGCACTCGGACAACTCGTGGATTCACATCAAGGAAGAAAACACCAAGAGGACAGCGATTCGCAAGCGTTCCTGGGGTGGGAGGCAGAGCTGCCAGACCCGAAGCTGACTCCATGCGGTGGAGTGTTTCCTGGGGCAGTGATTCTCTCCTCCGGGTCAGGCTGCGGGGCACCTGCGGTGGCGCTGTCAGGTGCGGCAGCCTCCGCGCAGCCTCTAGGTGCGCACACTCCGTGTCCAGATCTCTTATCTCCCCGTGTAGACAGTCAACATGCCGGAACCTCCCACGTACACAACCAGATGTGAGAACAGATTAGATACAACTACACACTTCTGTAGAGCCAACACGCAACGTGCCGTACAGAGCGCCCAAGCCGGTGGCCGAGGATGCGAATACAACAAGGCAGACAGAAGCATGGGAGCGAGAGAGCGTCAAGGAACGGTAAGACCCAGCCCCGGGTCGTTCCCTATGCCCCGCGCTCTGCCGCGCAGGCCTTGGCGGTCACCCCGAGGGCGAATGCAGACCAGCAGCACGGAGCCTCAGGACTCCGTGTCTGTCCCACAAGTTCGGCCTCCTGGACCCACGACTCGACAGAGAGCGTATTTAGGTGTCCCTCAGCGACCACGAGGTGACCAGGTCCTGTGGGGTCCCAGCAGGAGCAAACTCATTGTGAGCGGAACAGGCGGGCTAGAGCCTGTCTCCTGTCTGGCGGAGGCGAGGCTGGTAGACAAACGAAGACCAACTGACTCTCCTACCATCCCTGCCCACGGGCACATGGCAGGAGCTGGTCCAGGAGCTGATGAGGCCCAGGGTCAGAGCCAGATTTGGGAGGAGGATGCATGTGGGAGACTCCATTACCTAGCATAGACACGTCTCCAGGCACCTCTTCGTGGGTGCGCAGACCTCTTAAACTTGTGGCTGACGCCTGGGGCTCTCCGATTCCAACTCCATGATTTCACATTTAAAATCTTGGACATTATGTAAGAGGATCGTGGATAACAATAGAATAGTCAGCTTTGCATTCAGACAGAGCTGGAACAGTACACACAGTTAGAATGTTTTTCACAGGAGCTTCCCCGGACCACTAACTTGGATAAAAGGTCTCCTTACTTGAATGGAGCTTCAAATTCCAAGTTATTCACACGGGGGTTGCTAATGCGCACGTTGGGTCAGTTCATGCCGCCAAACTCATGCAGTTTATGATTGGCGACGATGTGATGCTTTCTGCTTAGGTTGGCATTGCAAATACAGAACAGAGGCCTCTTTCTTGAACACTATTCACTTGGACACAAGCAGAGTGTCTGGAAACAGCCTGGACCTCAGAACTACTCTCCCATTGAGACAGGACTTTGAGTTGACAACAATACTCCAGTGCTGCAGACACAGCTGGGAGTACTGCTCAGCTACTGATAACTGCTGCCCAGGAAACCTGGTCATTGATGAACAAAGCTGCACACTGCTACACTGTTCCAATGGTCTTCTCATTGCCAATTATAGTAATTTTATTATCAATGAATGTTTCCGCCCACCGCCCCCAAAATAATCGTAGGTGAAAACCAAACAACTTTTGACAATAGAACTGTATCATTAAATGGTATTGAAAGGAGAGATGCTTATCTTTGGTAAGAGAAAACTCTCTGGCTGCGGAAGCAGGTTCCCATCTGACCCACACCCCTGACAGCTGCAGTCAGAGTCCACATGTATCAGTGAGTCCACTGGCGTGTGGGCCTGTGATCTTATGACAGTTAGTCCATGGTGCAGGAGCACAGAGCTCCCTTTCTGAGCTAGTGTGTGACCTGTGAGGGATGCTTGCTCACCCCATGGAACCCTACCACACTGAAGATGTAGATTGTGGGTAACAGTGCATAATTAACTATGTATGATCTATTAAAATGATGTCAGTGTTTCTTAGATATTCTCATCTCCTCTAGTAGTGTTCATTTGCATTTCCAAGGATCCACAAAAGACCTGGTGAGCCTTACCCTCTGATCCCAGGGAACCCTGCTCTGGCCCTGCCCTGACATGTCCACACTGTGACGGCTGGGGCAGGTCCTGCACCCTAACCCGAGGGTCCTGCAACACGACCAATCTGAGCTGATCAGACCCTGTTGTCTGCTGAAAGGGCCCTTTCCTCCATATGATTTCATGATCATAGCATTGATACCCCCTTAGTTCCACCTGAATACTTCAAAACATATTAGTAAGCAGGAATTATATTCAATAAAGAAAAACCTACCACCTGATTTAAATGGATAGGACAATCCCCAGAAGTTATGGGGGCCAAATACTAGCACAAATCTTGGTTCATGTTCATAGCCTGAAGATCTGGGGCGAGGTGGTATAGGACACTGAGGGGCAGACGACAGCCTATGTGCAGCATCAGGGTGAGAGGTTGCTTCACATGGTGGTACTGGGTCCATGGATTTGAACAGGATGGAAAGGTCTGTCTCTTCAGCAGGTTGTGTGTGATATGTGATACTGGAGTGACAATGATTAAAGTTACCTCGTCAAGGAGAAGGAAATTGTGCATATTTCCCCTTTTGGTGCTAGGGTTGCCAGTGTGGTGTTCATCTCCAGGAAGAGAGTACATATGTCTGCTGGTGAAGATAAAGCAGATCTTTGTGAATTTGTGGTTATTATTAATGTAACTGGATGCTGAAGACTGATCACGTTATATCAACATGAGGTGGGGCATTTCATAGCCCTAGACCTGCCACAGCATAAGAAGGAGCAACATGAGGATACGTGGACCATGCAACAACAGGGAGATGCTGAGGACAGGGGTTCCTGCAACCCCCTTGCACTCTATGTGCACAGAGGTCCTCCCACTGAAAAACAAGCCCCAAATACACGTTCTTCACTGTGAATCCACATGTGAATTGCATGGTCAGCTCCAGCACCATCTAGGGGCTTTGGCATCTGTATATCTTCTTCTTTGTATTAGTGAAATTCTTGAAATGTTCTACCCAGTTATATGTAAAAAGCTTCCCTTGCCTCCAGCTGCTTACTCTTAACACATGTAGGAGGGCTAGAGACCCTTTGTAAATGTTGCTTTCCTTAAAGTACTGTGTTACATAAACACTCACAGCTGAGTAGTATATTCATACAAATATCAATATAGCACATAAAATTATTATTATACATTTTCAGAAAAGGAATACCCAGTCCCCAAGAGCAACCCCCTCCCAGCCTCCTGTGTACCTGCTGGGCGGCAGCGTGTGCTGGGTGCTCCTGAGCACGCCCTGCAACCCAGCCCCACCTGCAGGGGAGGTTCCCTCTGGACTCTCATAGCATCTTTCCCCCAGTGTCCCTAGCCCAATGTTACCCGACTGTGCCCCGGATCACATGTCCTTCACGGACATCATGTGCTTTTGACTGTAAACTGTGAACTGGCCTTTCTAAACCCAGAGAATTCTGCAGGGAGGCCCCAAGAAAGGATTCTATGAAACCATCAGGGAGCCCCTTCCCCGAAGCTCCACATGCGTTAGTATGGTCACACTCACAGGGGGCCAGAAACCCTCAGGGGTTATGGAGGAGCCTCATATCTCATTTAAGTTCCTCTGCTCAAATGTAACTTTAATACACAGCTAATGGGCTGGCCCAGAACCCACCACACTGCTAATCCTGCAGCACACTCACACACACACACACACACACACACACACACACTGTGGCCAGTGTTCACAGCTGTGGGAGGAACACTTCCCTTCTTCTCTGCATGTTGCACATGGGTCAAGTCCACACACTGACCTTGGGCCTGGGCATGTGCCCTTGTCAGACAGAAAACAGCAAATGCCTCACAACTGGAGAAAAGGACTTGCACACGTTGTGGGTTTGCTTGTTCTCCCAGCAAGAGAGACCCTGAAGATGCCCCTGAGTAGGGCCAGGCTTGCCCCTATAGGGTCAAACCCGGCAGAGCCATGTGCAGTCAGTGCAGACAGCACCAAGCTGTCTGGACTCTGGGGAGGGCCACACTGGCCCCCCATCTCAGCAGGTCCCCCTCACAGAGACACAGCCAGGAGCCTGAGAGCAGGGCCCTGGGGACTTGGATGGGACATCACCCCAGGGGAAGAAGCAAGAACTGATCTTGGAAGAGGGGACTCAGGAGGGAGAACTGGGCATGTCAGACTCCCTGAACCAGGGTCTAGGATGGGTCACCACTTACTAATTCCACTATGGGGAATATATTGGGGGACCGTGTAGCTCTGCCACCTGGGCAGATGGGCTCCACAGTGAATGACTCGTGTTTTCATGACTCTAGTGGCAGGAACAGAAGAGCTGCACTTGAAAACCCCAGGTAAGGATACATGTCTGCTTCCCAGTCCAGGGTTCAGTGTATGCTGCACACGGGCCCACATGTCTCCTCTGGGGTGAGCAGGGGCTGCATGTGGCCTGAGGAGGACTCAGGCAATTGCACCAAGGTCCCAGATGTCCCAACCCATAGCAGGGCCCTTTGTAGTGTGCCTACCCAGTGCCTCCTGCCCAGAGAAAGGGGCTGTGTCTGGCCCCAAACACA